ATATATATATATATATATATTGATATATATATATATATATTGATATAATATACTGATATTCTAAGGAATATTCCCTTATATCTACCTGGGGTACTTCTTATGGGGGTGTAAAATTCACTGAAACACCAGGATGACTCTTAAACAAAGCAGCAGTTAATTGTTGTCAGGGGCCACCAGCTTTAGTGTATAACAACTCGGATCATTTACCTGAGTTTACACCAGACAAACAGTGCAGGTAGACAATTGTCGTCATCTAGAGGCACTGAACAGCGAAGTGGATGGTAAGGAAGTCTCCATGGCGAGAAGGCATTTATGTACCGTATGTTTCTTTCTGCAGCTCAATTTTATTCTTATTTGTCATTGGTAATTTTACATGGTTATATCTACACAACACAGATATGCCTACTTAAACAATAATTAATAATTGTAATAATAATTGTACTGCCCAATGCAAGCATGTACGTATGTAAACAGAACTGGTGCTAAAACAGAACCCTGTGGAACTCCATAATTAGCCTGACTGTGTGAACCTGACTCCCCATTTTTATGAATATCTATATTTATAGATTTAATCTATTAGATATGATTCAAACCAGCATGGTGCCTTTAATATGTACAGCAGTAGGACCAGTGGTATTCCCATTAGGACATATTTGCACTAGACCCACACCCAGTATTGATGTGCAGCACATGCAGCCCAATTAAACTAAGACAAAATAACCAAAACCCTTTTCTAGTTCAGTTGATCATGGTCAGGACTACAGAGTTGGCCAACATGTAACTCACCAGTAGTTCTAATGATAGCCAATAGATCACTGTGTTCCACTCTCCCCTCAGAATGAGGCACAGGCCGGGGTGAGGAATGTAGTAGTCCACCGTAATGTTTGTGCTAAAGAGCCAACACTGCACGAGGACATGAGCAGAGGTGGGACGTAACAAGGTATATATGCTATAACTATACTGATACTTTCTACTTTAAGTAGAATCTTCAGGTGTTTGTATCTTACTTAAATATTTATTGAAGTGCTCTATTGTGCTCATAGTATGAGGTCTTTAAGAAAAGATGGGGCCTGGTTTTTGAAGACCTTGTAATGAGGAGAAAGACTTTAAAGTCTGTTATGGATTTAACACGGAGCCAGTGAAGAGAAGTCGATATGGGCAACATATGTTGTCTCTTTGTTGTTGTGTCGGTACTCATTGCTGCACTTTGGATCAACAGAAGAAGCTTTTAGAAGAAGGTGAAAATAACGTTACAGTAGTCCAGTCTAGAAGCAAAAACAAACGAGTTTTACAGAGCCACTCTGAGACAATGTTTGTAGAGTGAGTGAGTGACCAAGATCTCACCAGTAGTTCTGATGATAGCAGCCAATAAGCCACCATGTTCCTCTCTCCTCTCAGAAAAAGGCACAGGCCAGGTGAGGAATGTGGTAGTCCACTGCAATGTTTGTGCCCAAGAGTCAACCAGAAGCTTGTGTAAGGACCTGAGGTGAGGTGGGACGTAATGCACAGATACTTTGTTGCTGTACTTAAGTTGAGTTTTCAGGTATCTGTTGATATTTGGTGAATATTTATCTTTTGACAACTTTTTACATTTACTCCATTTTAAATAACTTTCTTTACTTTTTTACTTCTTACATTTTCAAAACTCGTTACTTTAGGTTTACTGCATTTTGAGGGAAGTTATTATTTTACATCATTATGTACCAACCAAATGGTGGGAACAATAGTGCATAAAAGACAATCCTATTGGTGTACGAATCACCCAGGCTTATCATACACAAAGAGATTAAAGGGCCAGCTTTCAGCTGCTCAGCTCTTTGTTCACACTAGTACAGCATCCACATTACTCCTGTACCAGTCCATCTGTCAGTCTCCCACTGGCTTCGTCCTCACTTTTGAACACCACCTTCTGTTTAAGAGGGCCGGCCAATCAGAAGAAAATTTGTTTAAAACATGGATCATTTTAAAGCAGGAGGAGCTAAAACAGCAACTGGGAATCCTGCAAAGCCACGAGAGACGAAGAATGGTTGAAATTTGCAGAACAACCTTTAACCTTTGCTTACTTGGACACACTGCATTTTCCACAACACTAATGGAATAATTAGAAACATTTTAATTCATATTGCTTCATTTTATGCTGTGGAACCTTCACCCAGCATAACATCACCTCAAACTTTTGTTTACCATAAAGACACATCACAGGTTAAGTTTTTATTTGACATACAGGAGTTTACAACCAATAAACTTCTAATACACAAGTGACACGTGTCAAATATGAAGCTTTAAGAACCAAACATGTATTTATTATATGTACACAGTGATAGACACACGTTAAAAAACACAACGGTATCACACCTCGAAAAATGAGGTGATCCTCGAATATTCTCACTCCACAACTAAGAGTGAAGTCTGTATAGCCTGTAGGATTTTAATCAATATACCAAAGTAGCATAATAAGCACAGTCTGTAAACTCCTTTCTGAAAGCCTGTCGCTGTAAAACAGACACATCTCACACATTTCCCCGTCAGTACTTGTACGGGGAACAGGTGGACTGTATCAAGCACAATCCATGTGAACCAACAATCGATGCCACTGCTCCTCAGCATTTTAAAACGTGGTGAAGAACAAAGATGCATGTGTTTGATAACCATTACTTCCTGTTAATATGCCTGTTAAAAAGCCTTCTTTATGTTTGACAAGTTGTCGTGTCACCCTCTGTGGAAAAGAAAACAAAGTTGAAAATAAATTAAAGTTTCAGTTAAAGCTCTCAGCCTACACTGTGGCATAGCAGTCACACTGTTTTGTGTCGTCCTCGAGACTGCATAGGACGCTGGAGAGGCACCGCCTGTAGCGTGGACAAAGTGACATCATCATGACAGCAAGCTTAAAGTGCAAGCGAGCGGACTCCTTTCCCACCCAGCGGACAGACATTGAGGCAGTGAGTTTAGCGAGGGGGAGGTGCAGAGTCCGCTGATAAGTCAGCATCAGTCTCTGAAAGTGTGGATGTCATTGTAGAGGTTGACGGAGGTGCTGGAGTGATAGGTGTGTTTACCACAGCTCGTACCGCAGCTGCAGCGCTGGATCCACATTACATTGTAGAGGATGTCTCCACTGGGGCAGTGGAAGCGGAGCTGCACGGTGCGAGAGAGAGACGGGGCGCAGCAGCGGCCGTCAGTGCAAGTCCCACAGGTCCGAGGCCGATATCGCTGAGCTGTAGAGCATCCACCAAAGGTGATGCTGACTGGCTCGTGTGGGCGGAAGGTTCGCTGACATTTCTTCCAGGATGACAGAGACAGCCACAGTTAAATAACAAATCTCAGATGTTCCTGTCGGCATTCTACATCCATCTCCATTTGAGTATACACTACCTTAGTTATGGGAAGCTGCAGGTCACAGTGCTGGATCTGGCACAGTCTGGTTTCTCTGACTAGCTGACAGTCTGGGTTGTGATTGGTCACACGACTTGAAATGCCCATCCCACATGTGGCAGAGCACTGGGTCCACTCAGTGGTCTGTGGGAAACACTGGGGCTCATGTAAGACCTCAGAGAGGGGGAACGATGCGATCTCTGCGTGAGAGCACAATACAGCAATGAAGTCATGGATGCCAGCAGACAATTAGTTACCTTGTGAGTCACTTCTTGGAGTTCTTGAGGGTTTTGTGAATATTTCACATCAACTTATTTGAGAGTGCTGCTCTGATGATTTACAGTATTTTCAACTTTACCTCTGAATGTATCTGCTCCGCTGGCAGCTGGGAGGGGATTCTGTCGCTGGACTGGCAGCAAAGGACTGATGTGGTTTGGGTGGAGCTGGCTCTCTGTTGGCTCACTCAGCTCCTCGCTGATGCTGTTGTCATCATCACACACCCATTCTTCACAACAGCCACCCTCGGGCTGCGCCAGCCGGGGCTTTGAGCATCGCCACCGAGGCAGGGGCACTTGGTAGGGACAGAGGGGCATGCAGCCCACCACACCATTCATGCAGGTGCACTGGTGCTGGCAAACAGGCTGGAAGTCCTCACCATGCTGGTACACTCGCCCATTGAATGCACAGGGTACGCCATGAGCTTCAGCTGACATAGAAAACAGGAAACTGAGCTGTTAGCAGACACTTTTGAACTTCATGGAAGGATACGGCAAAAACTTAATGAGTCTGTTTGCTGCGTTTTTGTGATTTTACCTCTCACTTTGTATGTTGTATAGCTTTTTACGTCTCGCTCACAGGAAACACTGCTGATGAACCACCATTTTGGCTTTTCCATGCTTTCCCTCTGTTGTTTATCTATGTTACATGTGTTGAGGCCATCCTCTAAACACAGATGCTGTCAGCTGCCTCATAGTTCACCATTTTCCATTTTCGTTTCCATGCTAAAGCCACTTTTCTAGCCGAAGACTCAGAGTGTTGCTTTGTGTGTACTATAGTGGCAGAAGCTTCACAACAGGAAAACTGTTAGCGTTATCACGTCTGCAGCTTTGATGCTAACATCAACCAATAATCAAGCATCGTCTGTGTGTTAATGTGCTGCTGTGTCACTTTTTCTGCTTTAGTGCAAATCAAACTGACTTTTTATTTCCCTGAAGGTACATAAAACGGTCAAGATCCATGGAATTAAAAAAAAACACATACTCATAAAATCTGCTCAACCTTTTACTTTTCTTCACACCAGGCCAGCTGAGCAGTCAAAGAAAAGGTTTCTTATGGAGGACGAGCTAAAACAAAACATTTCTGACTGGAGGTCAAAAGAGATGCTGAAGCAATGTATTGCAAAAAAAGAATAATAAATAAGCATGTAAACATTATCTAGTAAAGTTAACCTGAGTAACCTGTAAGTGAGCCTAATATTGGCCCTTCAGCTAAGACATCATACTCTAGAGAAATACACCAAGAAATCAAATGGATTTCCTATCAGGGAGATTTCATGCTTTTTGAACAGTTTAATGCTCCCTTGTGATCTGTAATGATCCCACAGATTCATAGCACCTTTTATTTCAAATAAATGTTTGCATTCCTGCTTTTTCATTTATTTATTTTCCAGCTAGACCTTAAGCAGCTCCTCCAGAGCCATTAGAGTCATTACATAAAAGTGTCCAGACTTCCTTTAAAATGCATCTGCAGGGTGTTTGTGGACAGTTGCTCTGTAATTTCAACAGTGTGCATCTACCCTTGCTGTCTGATTCTTGGTACAGGAGCTGTGTTTTTGTTTGTAGCTTTTGTTCCAACATCAGAATAATTATTCCTTTAATGATTTGAAGCTGTGAGCTTTCAATAAACTCCTTGCTCACCTTGACACAGTCCTCTCTCTGGGTTTCCTCCAGCCCCCAGATGGCAGTGCAGCCCCTTGATGTGATCACAAGGTTCTGTCGTGCTGCAGTCCTCATTAAACTGCCGAGCACAAACTTTGCAGCAGCCACAGTCGTCAGTTACATGACTGACGCCGGGCAGGCACAGTGGAGGCGAGGGGGGGCAGGAACATTCAGCTGGGCATGCACTGTCTACCTAAATACCAGGGTCAGAGGTCAGCTCAGACTGATTTTTATTTATTTATTTTTTAAAATGGTAATCAAAATGTTATCTAAAATAACTATATGGAAGATCACAGAAACAAAAAGCATTTATAGCCACAGAAACTCACCATTACTGCAGCTCTGCCCAGCATAAACAGGGTGAAGAAGATCCGCTGCAAAGCAACAGGACAAAGCATCCTGATCCCAGCAAATAAAGCAAGCAAACAAAAAGTAGGCTTTCACATCCAGATTCCCAAGAGGAAAGAAGTTAATTTTGCAGCTCCAGGATGAAAAGTATCCAGAGGTGAGTTTGGCACCCAGAGGTAAATTTGCCTGTGCCTCTCCAGCAGCGTGGCTCAGCTCTACTTCAGTCAGAGGTTTCTCTCTGCACTTATAGACACACATGCCCCTGCCCTGTGACATCATTACCGCGCCTCTCAGCAGAGCGTCCAGAGAGAGGAGGAGGAGGTGTGAAACACTTACAGATGTGTTAACGTCACAGTGTAATTATGGATGAGTCAAGGTGTCATTAAAGGTGTCACCAGGAAAACCCTGGTTTACAAGAGCTGCTAAATCCTGGTTAAACTGCTTGTAGTTTTCAGACTGTGTGTGAAAATCGTTAGTTTTCTATGCATGAACACGCTAGAAAGGAAACAGCAGAGGACATACTTAGCACATGAAAAAAAGAAGCCAGTGGTTGGACAGGTGTAATGGAAAACTTAAGGAGGGAATCCCGCTCAGTGAGGCTCAGAATGATTAACTGTGAGAATGGAGAAACTCCCTGTAAACCGCTCTCTTCTACACTGAAGGACAATGTGCTCAGAACATCCTGTGTTCCCTCCGTCTCTTTCCTAATGGGCAGCATTCCAGGAAACACAGGCTTATCCTCGTGTTCCCATGATTGGCAGGAAAAACTCTGCATTCCCATTGTCACCGTGGTGGCACGTAAAGAGTGTTTTGCTGGAGAGCAGGAAAGTCCTTGCATTAAGTTGGCCTAGGCTGTCAAGAAACATGGGAAACTTAATTTGGCTTTCGATAAGGCTGCTGAAGGTCTCTGGCCTGTTCCTTAAAAGCAGCACTGTGCAAAAGTCCACGATCGTCCCCTTAACTCTTTACATTTTGCACCTCACAGTTTAGTTTGTGAAGCCACTTAACACTGAGCTATGAATCTTTCAAGCCTTACAAAGACACTTAACTCAAGGGATGAACCGGTGTTGTGTCTACACGTAACAGACTATTTTAAATTGTATATACTTTGGACGGTGGGAGGAAGACTCCGGCTTCCTCCCACCGTCCAAAGACATGCAGTTAGTGGGGATAGGTTAATTGGTTAATCCAAATTGCCCATATGTGTGAATGTGCGAGTGAATGTGAGCGCGAATGGTTGTCTGTCTCTGTGTGTTGGCCCTGTGACAGACTGGCCACCTGTATACCCCGCCTCTCGCCCTATGACAGCTGGGATAGGCTCCAGCGCCCCCCACGACCCTGGAAAGGATAAGCGGAAGCGAACGGACAGACGGACGGATCTATACTTTGTTACTTGCAGCCTGTGACAAAAGCACGTCTACAAATAACATGACAAGGATAACACAATTCTGAAATAGCATATACATATCTTGGCATGGTGTGCAGTGTGTCCTTACAAAACTTGAGGAAACTGGACACACGGAGGACAAAAGAAGAAGCAGGTAAAAAGATAAGCTATAACAAAAACTTTCAATCCTTGGCAGAGCCTCGACTATTGTGATTAGCCTGTTCTATTGATTCCTGTCGTGCATTTACAGCTACACTTTATTTGAGAGTGAGAGAAAAACACTCATCCCCTGAACATAAAGAATAATGACGAAGAAGAAAAATGTCTCAGCATTTTATTTTTTTCTATTTCTAGGCACCACATTGTAATTCACATGTAATTCACCACACAATAGCATAAATGTGAGCAATGTCAGCCACTTATGTAGTTTGCGTTCTAGGCTCTACAAGAGTTCCCCACAGAACTCTGATTCAGTCCTGAGACATAGAACATGGATGAATGGGTGAATGAGACATATCACATCTATCACATCTATCACATCTATCACATCTATCACATCTATCACTCCCAGCATGTAAAGCGCCTTGAGCATCATTAGACCCGGTTTACAGTGGGGCAAAAAAGTATTTAGTCAGCCACCGATTGTGCAAGTTCCCCCACCTAAAATGATGACAGAGGTCAGTAATTTGCACCAGAGGTACACTT